CAAGTGAGCAAAATTTTCAGTTTCCGTTGTTTGGATTCATAAGATTATGTATGCATGCCGGAACTGTGAAGACATTGTACCTGGCTATCCACATTGGACAACGGTCGTAGTGGTGAATGCCGTTGCATTTATTTGCGGTACTGCCAGGTTCCATGCAGGTCCTTGTCGGTTTATCCGTCCGTGTCCAGATCCCGAAGAAGGTTTAATCTCGTAGAAAAGGGAAAGTGAAGAACACCGGGAGAAGACTGCAATTAACAAGCGGGAAATTAAGTATTGTTAAACTGATACGCTAAAACGTTTACAGTTAAGACCAAATGGTGTACAATGTGCAACAAGGATTATGGTGAAAGTGTCCTTTGGGCGCCCTGCAAGATGCAATGGCCGTACAGACAGGTTGCCACCATCTACACAGAGAACGGTGCGTTTTACCAATAAGAAATCCAAGTAGTATAAGTTTGGCATGATGCGACAAGTGTATTGAAAGCGTGAAAGGAGAGTTAGAAGAATGGCAGCGATGGGAGAAAAAAGAAACACGGGTAGCTAATCTAATTTGATAGAGAGCGCAGAATAAGTACGTAAAATTATAAACAGGGAAAGTGAGGGACAACCGACGAAAGACCGCGGACACAGGCATGGAGTTAAATACCTTTCCCTTTTTAGGTTACAAATTTGGAGTTAAAATTAGGTACACTGTGCAACGATGATTGTGCTGCGCGTGCTTTTGTATGTCTTATTAAATCGGTGGTTATAGTAAATGGCTAGCGGCTGAGTAGCGACAAGCGCGTTGTACCGGTAAGTAATCCACAAGTTATCAGTTTAGTATGGGGCAAAAATTGCATGGAGAAAGAGGAAAGGACGTTAGAAGACTGGCGGTGATGTAATGGTGAATGAACAGTACGTAGCTAGCTTAATGCGATAGGGTGCACAGAAAGAGAAAAATAAATATAAGTAGTTTAAAGCGAGAGATTTCTAAAAATCAATTGGTGGTAGGGCGATCGAAAGTTCGGATGCAGACATTCTATGAGAATATAGGTTATAGAGATACAGAATGAATGCTAACAAGCTCGGGATGAAAGCAGATGCATTGGGTGTATGACCATTAGCTGCGTCTACACAGAGGTGCCGAATTTAATACGATCGACATATGGTGGCATTGGGAAAGACTACCAGTGGCCAGATGTAGCCATTCCAATAAGACATTTGGTGGCTAGTGTATGTCAACGGGGTCACCGAATGCATCAACAAGCTAGCGAAGGTAAGTGTTACAGATATTCCAGGAGAAGGTATGATGGGTTGACAAGTAGTGTATCCTAGCAAGCTGAAGCTTTGCACAGAAGAGGCATAGAGCCTGCGGCAAACCGCTGCAAAGCGGTGAGGAAGAGAAGAAAAGAAGAGAAGGAGTACGACAGATAGTGGCGCTAGGTGAGAGTGAATCAGTGGCAAGCAAACCCATTCGGATTAAGCCTTCTAATTACCAGTGGATACCTACTGTGACAGAGTAAGGCAACAAACCAGCGAGGGTATGTATTGCAAACAATCCAAGATAATAAATATTGGAGAGGTAATGAGAGGCTCCTAGCGCAACCATCCAGGTAACCTACCATAGTGCACTGCAGCTGAAAAGAGGTAATGAAGTTACTACGAAGAATTGACAATGGCACTAGTGGGAAGAGAATTGGTGGCCAGCAATGGCATTTAGATGCAGAGTTCCAGATACTGACGGATACTTACAATGCCCCAGATTTAGTCATCAAATGTATATGACACAGACTCTACCAGAGAATAAGGGTTGGAGAGATAAATAGTGGCTTCACCAAGCGCCGGATTTGCGCAGGGATGCATGATGCCTACGAAGGAGAACTGCTGCTAAATGGGGAAGACAAAGGTACGACGATGAGTAGATAATGGCGCTAGGAGCGAGATTATCAGTGACCAGCAAAGGCATCCGGATTAAGCCTTCTAATTGCCAGTGGTTACCTACGGTGACAGAATAAGTCAAAAACCCAGCGAAGGTATGTGATGCAAACAATCCAGGATAGGAGTTGTTGTAGAGAAAAGGAGTGGCTCCATGCGCAAGGATGTATGCCTTTTATAATGCCTGCAGCAGCCGGAAATTGGTGACTGATAATGTACTGAGCAAGGGAGTATCGACGGCAATTAATCGCATTTGGGTGAAGCATTCTCCTTGCTAGTGTATATCTACGGTTTTCCAGGATAATTCAAATAACAGCAAATGCCCGTGATGCATACAGCCCCAAATAATGAAGGTTGGAGATAAAAGTGAGTGGCTCTTAACTAGTTCCGGATATGCGAAGGATGCTTGGAGTCTACGACCAATAATTTCTGCTAAATAAAGTTGTTGAGTTTAAGCTAAACGATAGAAAATGAGGCAGTGAAAAACCTTCGGTGGCCAGATGTAACCATCCCATTGAGCCGTTTGGTCGCTAGTGGTTTCCTGCAGTGTCACGATATACATCAACTAGCCACCGAGGGTAAGTGCTACAGACATTCTAAAGGACCCCAGCATGGAGAAACAAGGAGCGCCACCTGGTGGCTTCTGATATGCGCAATGATGTTTGTAGCCTACGAAGAACGGCTGCTGCTAAACAGAGGTACTCTAGGTAAGACGAAGAACAGATAATGGTGCTCGGAGTGAGGGATTCAGTGATCATCAATGGCATTTGAATGAAGCCTTCTATGTACTAGTGTATACCTACGGTGTCCCAGAATAAGTCAACAAACAGCAAATGAATGTGAAGCAGGCATCCAAGAGTTTAAGAGTTGGACAAATTAAAGAGTGTCTTAGCAATCTCTGGATAATCGCAGATGCATGGAGCCCAGGACTACTCTCTGCTTCCGAAAATAGGCCGCTATTAAGACGACCGGCAACTAGTGGTGCCAGATGTAGCTATTACGAAAGGAAGCTCGCTCACTAGTATGCCTACAGAGTCACAGAATTAGTCAAAAAACAGCAAATGTACGTGAGACAGGCTCTCCAAGAGAATATTTGACAGTACAAAAGAGTGACGCTAAGCAGGTTCCGCATACGGACCGAGATGTTTGGAGCCTACGAGGAATAGCTGCTGCTGGTCAGTAGTAAGACGAAGAGCAGATAATGGTGCTCTAAGTGAGCTGCATTGGATTTGGATGAAGCCTTCTAGTTACTAGTGTATACCTACAATTTTCCAGGATAACAAACAGCAAAGGTATGTGACGCAGCCAATTCCAGATAACAAAGGTTGGAGAAATCGAAGAGTGGCGATTAGCAAGCACTGGATAATCGCAGGTGCATGGAGCAAATTCCCACTAGCTGCGTTTAAACAGATGCCAAATTTAGGACAATCGACTGTTGGCTCGCTGGGGGCTCACAATCGTTGACCAGCTGTAGCCATTCCAATAAGACTCCGGACCACTAGTGTACACCTGCAGGGTAACAGAATGCATCAACGTGTTAGCAAAGGTAAGTGATACCGACATTCCAAGTAAAAGTATGATGTAAACACGAAGAGTGCATCCTAGCGAGTGCCGGATAGGTGCAGAGATATATGGAGCTTACGACGAATCCCTGCAAAATGTGATGAATAAAACAGGACGAAAGACATGTACTGGCGCTAGGAGAGAGAGTATCAGTGGCCAGCAAATAGATCCGGAGTATATCTTTTAATTACCAGTAGATCCCTACAGTGACAGAATAAGTCAACAAACCAGCGAAGGTATGTGATGCAAACAATCCAAGTGAGTAAGGGTTGGTGAGATAAGGAGAGACTGCTCGCGCAAAGAGGTATGCTGCCTACAAAGAATCGCTGCAGCTGAAAAGTGGTGACTTAGGTAATACGAAGAACTGATAATGATACGGAGGGAGAGTGAGTATCGGTGGCTAGTAATGGCATTTGGGTGAAGCCTTCGACTTTCTAGTGGATACCTACAGTTTCCCAGAATAAGTCAACTAACAGCAAGTGCATGTGACGCAGACAGTCCAAGGGCGTAAAGTTAGAAGAATAAAAGAGTGGCCGTTAGCAAGCTCCGGATATGCTCTGAGATGATTGGAGCCTCCGAAGAATAGCTGCTGCTAAACAGAGGTGCCAGAGGTAAAACGTAAAACAGATAATGGCGTTAGGTGTGAGAGTATCAGTGATCAGCATTGGCATTTTATTGAAGCCTTTTAATTACTAGTGTCTACCTACAGTGTCCCAGAATAAGTCAACAAACAGCAAATGTACGTGAAACAGGCTCTCCAAGAGGATATTTGACGGTATAAAAGAGTGACGCTAAGCAAGTTCCGAATATGCGCCGAGATATTTGGAGCCTACGAGGAATAGCTGCTGCTAGTCAGTAGTAAGACGAAGAGCAGATAATGGTGCTTGAAGTGATCTGCATTGGATTTGGATGAAGCCTTCTAGTTACTAGTGTATACCTACAATTTTCCAGGATAACTCAACAAACAGCAAATGTATGTGACGCAGCCAATTCCAGATAACAAAAGTTGGAGAAATCGAAGAGTGGCGCTTAGCAAGCTCTGGATAATCGCAGATGCACGGAGTTAATGCCCACTAGCTTTGTCTAAACATTTGCCGAATTTAGGACGATTGACATGGTGGCGCTAGAAGAATCTATTAGTGACCAGATGTAGCAATTCCAATGTCTCAGTCGCCATCCGAACGGCTGCCTAGCCGAATAACCTCATATTAGTGCCAGCTGTGTGGTCTGCGTTTACCCCTTTCCAGCATATAGTTCGGCGGCATTGTACCAGGACGTGGTGGGTTTTCGCCTGGCAAGTGTTCTCCCTATATACAGCCACAATGGTCCGTTTACCAACACTGTGACGTGGCGGTTGTGACTCGCCACTAATTGAAGTCACCCATCGCTTCTCCGGAATAAGCTGCAAGTCCACAGGTAGCAAACATCCAGTTATCACTGGCGACACTCAAACACATTCAAGCCAAACGGCAGGAAACCTTTACCAATCCCATGGTTCTATTCGTTGCCGAAGTTGCAGCCAAATGCAAAACGTTAAAGCTATCAATTCAGACTGCACGAAATCCGCCTTTGCCAAACTCTACGGTTCCCGATGGCAGTTGTCCGATATGATTATGGTCCGCCCTTTCCAAGACGTGATCCTCACTCCCGAAAGCCAAACGCAGCTGCTTGCACCTGACGAGGGAAACTTGCACGAAATATCTCCCGTGGATGGTCCGGCTGTTTTTCTGGACATTCTGGCGCCCCCTTACGACCATGATTTGGGCACAAGAGAGTGTAGATTCTACAAAGAAATTGTCCTACCGCATCAGATTTACGCAAAGACTTCATTCAACGGGGACACATCTCAGACCCACACGAATCCTCATGCTTACTCGGACGATTCGGCGTCCACAACGGCTACCGAGGTTTTTGATTCTGACGATCGGCAGCGCATTGACAATGACGGTTCGCAATCACCTTTTACGTATCTGATAGAGACTAACCAGCCGCAAGATTACTGGTGTGAGGCTGCTGAATATGCGGGGCCAAGCGTCGTTTGATCTTCGATTATATTTTTTGATGCATTTTCTCCCCGCTACATTGTGCTGCTGCTCTCACAAAGCGGGAGGTATCGGCGTGAATTCTCCACTGTGCCATCAATGATTTCGGCGCTAGACTTCGTCCCGTTTTACCTTTCCTTCCCTTTTCTACAACACACGCACCTACACAATATAAACGAACAAGCACACGGATTTGGTCATTAGTACTTTTCAATTTCTTGTTGACAACTTTTCGCAGTGCATTTGCTTACAGACATCGTTTCTGATGCTTCGTTCTATTTCTCCCATTCGCCCCTCCTATGGGAACCCAAAACACTTCCATCAAGTGCTCCAATTTCGGTAATCTTATCTTCTGGAAAAATACTCCTTTTTTAACTTATTACATGAACAGATCTTTGTTTTCCTTCTCAGTCACACGAAAGCCTGAAATATGTTGGTTATTATAATGCTAAGTCCAGCTTGTAATCACTGTCGCTTTAGCCGTTCGAGCTTCGATGCTGGAGGCCGCGTGTCAGATTGCGCAGTTAGCCGACTTAGAATCATCAAACTTTTGATTCTGCAATTTCCTCCTTGTCCCAAGTAAACGGTCATCTTACTCTAATGCAGACTGATGGCTTGCGCTAACACACATTGCCGCAACACAACTACCCCTTCTGTGAAAATCTGAGGATCTGACATCTTGTTTCACATTAAGAACGTGTTCATCTTCCATTCCGATTAGCCGGCTACGTGACCAAATATTGCCCTTAATCGGTTGCGTTGCGGGACGTGGAGGTGGGACTGCACTGAGCCTTTGTTTTTACTTTTCATCACATGGATCGCGCCCACCGTGATCATCCACTCACACTGCCTTGGCTGTGCACACACATAAATACACTTCATCTGCGCTGCTTCATTCTCCCCTTCCTTGCCCTTTGACACATGAAATTACCGTTGGTATGTCCTTTATTCTACAGTTTTGCAGAGCATTGCTCGCGAGAAAAAAGATACTACCTCTTATTGAAAGAAAGCCGGAAGTGTTCCAGGACGTGGTGGGTCTTCGTCTGACAAGCGCTTTCCCTACAAACAGCCACAAATGTCTGCTTAGCAACACTGCGACGTGGCGGAGATGACTCGCCACTCAATAAAGTCACCGCCCCTAACACATTGGCAAGTTGACCAACACCACATTTACAAGTTCTGTGCGTATATCGGCCCTCGCACGAACACGCCTACATATCTGATTAGTGATATACCGCTATTCTTAAGTATTTTTCACCCGTTTTCTCATACTTCACTCACTGACCTATATTGCTTACGGGACCTCATAGAACTAGTTCCTCATCAACATACCATATAAGTGATCTGATTACTATCTTGACCTCTCGCATTCTGTGTTCATAGACTACATACAGCCTTTGGGCTCTATGGGCCTACACTACTGCCTCCAACTGTGTTACTCCCACTGTTGGTGCTGCTTATTCCGCTATCATGTACAATAATGCAAAATGCTGATCATGCCCAAAAGGCGTGTCTCGATTTGCCGAGAATAAAATATTTGTTTGTTTATTTATTTATAAGCTAAACTCGCCTACATGCAAACGTACATACACTGCATTTTTTTGCTCAATGGCGCAACGCTCTGTGTTCCATGTAGATGGTAGCAACCGACATATACGACAATTGCTTTCGTAGAACATTCAAAAGACACTTTCAGCACAATAATTGTTGCGCACTGTATATCATTTGTTTCCACTAAATGTTATACCATAGGACTTAAACAATGCTTGTTTCCACGCCTGTTCTTTGCGGCCTTGTTTGTCTCTCAGCTTCCCTTTTCTCCAAGGTCCGGAACTGCTTGGAGGTCTGGGATTGGACCGAGAAACCGTTTTGCCCGGGACAGGACATAACCCACAAGGACCTACAAAGAACATGGCCGTACAACAAATGGATACAAACGCACTCACTACTACTACTGTTGTCCAGTATGATAGCTGGACACCAGGCCCTTACACCCCAGAAAAATATGCATAAAACTGAAAAATCCAGATATAAATTAATGACATTTTGCTCACCTGGACACTCACAAAGACGACTCTTCTTGAAGGTCTCGCCCTCCATGGGCCTCAGCTATTATGACCGCCCTGACCAAAGACACCTGCTCAACTAACAGAGGAAATTTGAAGTCAATTGGCTGCGGATACCCGAGGGTGAAATCAGTCGGCAACCTGCTCTGCCAGTTTTACATAGTGTGCAAACGGATTTCTGACAGTGTTCTAGGACGTGGTGTGGTTTTCGCCTGGAAAGAGTTTTCACTATAAAAAGCCACAACTGTCCGTTTAACAACACTGCAACGTGGCGGATGTGACTCGCCACTGAATAGACACTGCCCACAACTACATACAGGCAAGTGGACTAGAATCATAATTTTATATTTTCTTGACACGTTCAAGGGTAGGATATTTGATGCCTACATGTATCGTTTTCACTACACATGTAATGCCCAGACTGTTTACGCCACGCACGCTAGAGCCCAACGTGTCGTCATGCATCGACGACTTTATTACTCATGGTTAATTTTACAGTTTCCAAAGCCTGTACAACTTTCCGCTTACTGCCGATTACATACATAGCAACGTGTTTGTTGCAAAACATAGTTGCGTGTAAATGTTGATCATGCCTGGTTTGGCGTGTCTCGACAAATTCGAGAATATAATATTTATTTATTTATACAACAATCCCACTGTTCCACTGTACAGTAACTGATCACATTTTGCACCCTAAACATGATCACGCCTGCGCAGGCGTGAATACACAGGCGAGGATGCAAATTTATTTATTTACTCATGGTGTATACCTACAGGGCACAGAATGCTCAACGAGCAAGGGAAGGTAAGTAATACCGACATTCCAAGTGAAAGTATGGTGTAAACACGAGGAGTGCATCCTGGCGGGCGCCGGATAGGTGCAGAGATATATGGAGCTTACGACTAATCCCTGCAAAAGAATGATGAGTAAAACAAGACGAAAGACATGTACTAGCGCTAGGAGGGAGAGTATCAGTTGCCAGCAAATAGATCCGGAGTATATCTTTTAATTACCAGTAGATCCCTACAGTGACAGAATAAGTCAACAAACCAGCGAAGGTATGTGATGCGAATAATCTAAGTGAGTAACAGTTGGAGAGATAAGGGGTGACTGTTAGCGCAAAGAGGTATGTTACCTACAAAGAATCGCTGCAGCTGAAAAGTGTTGACGGGTGTAAGACGGAGAGCAGATAATGTCGCCAGGTTAGAGGGTATCGGTGGCCAGCACTGACATTTGGGTGAAATTTTCCAGCTTCTAGTGCATTCCTAGGGTGTCCTAGAATAACTCAAAAAGCAGATGCAGGTGAAACAGACAGTCCCAGACAGTAAAGCTTGGAGGAATCTAAGAGTGGCTCTTAGCAAGCTCCGGATATGTTTAGAAATGCATGGAGCCTATGAAGAATAGCTGCTACCAAACAGAGGTGCCAGAGGTAAGACATACAACAGATAACGGCGCTAGACGTGAGAGGGTCAGTGATTCGCAATTTCATTTGTATGCAGCCTCCTAAGTGCTATTCGGTGCCTACAGTGACCCGAATAATTCAACAAACGGGCAAAGGTATGTACTGCAAACAATCCGAGAATAAATTTTGGAGAGATAATGAGTTGCCCTTAGCGCATAGATCCATGCCACCTACACTGACTCGCTGTAGCTGATGGGATGTGCCAAATTTTAGATGAAGAACAGCTAATGTCGCGCGAGGGGAGAGTATCGGTGGCTAGCATTGGCATTCGGATGGAGCCTTCTGGTTACTAGTAGACACCTACATTGTCAGAATAAGTGTTGCAAGCAGTTCGGCAGAATGAAGTTGAATAAGCGCAGTAAGCTACCGTTGGAGTTAGCTAAGTTTTTACCAGGGGTTGCGGAATAGGCCGGGGATAGTGGATTTATGCGCGCAGATATTTGCGCTGATGGGCTATATTCTCTCAGTGCTTAGTCGGAATAGCAGACATATAAATCTGGTGTGAAGGAGATCTAATTGTGGAACTTGAGTCAAAGATGTTGGGTTTTCTGATTTAGTGGTGCTCTGGGCCATGTTCCCAAAGTTCCTCATCCGATAAGTTGGTGATAAAGAGCTCGCATGCAGGCAGGGTAGCAAGGTGTCTACGCAGGGATGCTCGTAACTGTGTAGTACTCTCGGCTGCCCCAACTTGTAATGGTAGCCTGTTCCAGATGCGAGCAAAGCTGTACAGAAAGAAGTTGTTACGCACGTTGGTGCGGGATGTAGGTACGGCAACGTTTAAGGGTCTATGGTGAAGTGGACACGGAGAGTCACCGTTTTGTTGAATAAGTCCAGCAAGGTTCGTGTTTGGGTTGGTTATCGTCCGGAATAGGAAGGTGCGGTTGAGTCTCATTCTTCGTGACCCCAGAGGAGAAAGACAAAGAACTATACAGCGCTTACGGCAGTTAAGAGTAGAAGGGCAAAGCAGGCGCTTTGTGAATGAACGTTGTACTTTTTCCATTGCTATTCGGTCACACTCTCTGGAGTCGGTAAATATTTTTGAGCAGTGTTCCAAAAGAGGTGTAGACCATAACTTGTATAGAGTGAGTCTGGATTTAGTAACGAGCATCGTCTTGCAGTTATGACCAATGAGGAGTCTGGCTTTCGCTACGCTAGAGCAACCCTGTTCCGAGAAATTTAGTGAGCCTGAATAGCTTACGCCGAGATCCCTTACGGTTGGACAGTTAGCTATTGAAACGCCATTCAGTGTTGGTGCACTGGGCGGTACAGTGCATCGGTACGACAAGGCGCTGCACTATGCAGGAAAGAATTCAAGCTTCCATTGGTTACACCAAGTGTCTAATGCTGTAAGATCATGTTGAATAATGAGGAGGCCGCTGCTTAGGTTACCCGGTTTATTAATGAGATGGCAGCGAACAGCTGAAACGTACATGCGTTAATGGCTGAGGACGTCCCATCAGTTGAGACAAAA